GGTCTAAAAAAACTTGGAAAAGTAATGCCCACTAAGCAACAGAGGGTCCTGTGGCACCTTTGAGACTAACAGAAGTACTGGGAGCATAAGCTTTCGTGGGTAAGAACCTCACTTCTTGCATCTGAAGAAGTGAGGTTCTTACCCACGAAAGCTTATGCTCCCAGTACTTCTGTTAGTCTCAAAGGTGCCACAGGACCCTCTGTTAAGTTTCTTATGTTGACCTGCCTGACATAGTCTATTTAATTTTTGGTTTTGTTTAAATATTTCACTTAACTATTTTAGTTAAAAACAATTTTAACAAAAACAATCCTGATTTTAAAAAAACTTGAATGTTTAACTAAATTCAAAAATTCACATGCTTGTTTTGTTAAAATATTATGTTTGTTGTTGAAGAAAAAAATCCAAAATACATAACGTTGTTTTAGATAAATAAAACAATTTAAATATCTGGTGATGTTCTCCTCCTAATACAGCATGCAAGAAAATCCCCCAAATATTAATGATTAACCTGTTGAATATCTGCTTCAATTACCTTTGGTAAATGAAATAACCAAACAATCATTCATTTTCTGATATAGCTACTAATCTGAAAAAATTTCAAAATAAATCACTTTAAAAATGTATAGTGTGTACCTTCTAAAAATGAAACCTACATCTATCTCTGAGTTGTGAAGAATATGTATTAAAGTTATAACAACCAACAAGAATGCACTTTTATGTAGAAATCCATGATTAAATCGAGTCTTCCTGACTAGTGATTTAAATCAAATACACCCTGATTGCAAACAATGCTTGCTGCTAGACATGTCATGATGAAGTCTGAAATTCTACTAGTACTCTACTAGTCTATTCTGATGCTAAGATTAATTAGACAAGGCAGTGACAGAGGCTGTTGTCTCGTGCTCACCACATATTTTGTACACAGTGCTGAAAAGGAACCTTCTGGAGATGCTCTTTGGAAAGTAACCAGGAGAAATAAATAGCAGAACAACTCTATTTTTAAAGACATTTCTCCCCAATCCCATCCCATTGAAGGAGAAAATTCCAGTGCTGTTCCCAAAAGTTACAGCTCGCTTCCACAGCTTCCGTCACCAGAAATACCTCAACACTCTATTTTCGCAGACTGAAAAAGTTCAGAAGGTTACAAAAAAGGCCAGAGTAGTGATGACAACAGACTATGCACACACAAACGAACGCTCGACATCACAGTGCTGCAGGGCCATAGGAATGGCTCCCTCCCAGTCATGACCGGATGCTGTAAGTACCTCTCCAGTTTTTAAGAGAAGTCGCTCTTTTCGAAAGTTCACATTGGCAACGCTGCATTTCAAACAGGAAGCCTTCATGTTCTGCAGCTCTGTACTGAAAGGCCTTGCATGTTTGGTATAACAACCCAAATTCTGCAGAGATGAGGGCTTTGGTTGTATTTTAGTCAGGGGCCCAGAGGTTGAAAATGGTTTAAGGACTTTATTTACTCTGTCTCATAGGAATGGCCATGCTGGATCAGAGCAATGGTCCATGTAGACAGGGAATGCACTGTTCTGCCAACTGCCTACTCCGTTGCTGGTCTAGTGGTATATTAGGAGAGCCTATGTCTATGACTACTGATACAGTGGCTCCAAACAGTCCTCTCTTCCCCCATTTTACCCTCAAAGGTGATGGCTTGTATCCGATGGAATGAGAGGGAAGCATTTGTGTCAAAATACTGGCAGTGAAAGCTCCGCGCCAAGACCAGCCAGTTACAACATACAGCATCAGAGTCTCTAGACCAACCACACTGTGTTCAGTACAATTCCAGAGCAAGGAGTAGCAAAGGTGGGAAGGACCATCTTTGCAACCCCCTCCTTCCGAGGCCACTGGACATCAGCCTGGTCCCTGATGCCAGGCAGAGCAGCCTTGATTCTTCCTGACCTCATCTGGGGATTTGCATATGCCCTGAAGCAAAGCGACTGACAGCCCTTGAAGTGTTGTCCTAGCAAGCGTAATTGCAGAAGCTATTCTTATCCATTGACATGGCTAATCTTAGTGAGATACAGTGTTTCTCTCAATAATACGTTGCAACAGTGAATTTCCACTCAGGTGCACACACTCTCTCTCAAACACACAGGCCACGGGCACTTACTTTGGTTGGAAAAAGTCCTTCTTGTCCGCTGACCCAAGGCTCTGAAAGACAAAAACAGACACATTTCTTTAAGCCCCTTTCATTCATCTGCCTGCCAGGAACACCCATCCCATGCAGAGAGACCAACCGAAAGCATTCATGTGTGCATGTAGGAATGGGAATGGCACATGGAGCCTTTCACCCCCAGGGCCTGGGTTCAAATCCAACTTCCACCACAAGCCATTGAAAATCATGGATGCCTAATGGCTGCTCAGTGGCCTATGTGAAGTGAATGGGTGGCAGGAGTCACCACCGGCAGCTGCACTCACTGCCTCCCCTGCAGGGAATCTCAGTGGAGACCAAGGACTGAATAGGCCTTGCAGACACAACGATCCTCTCGCTCCTAGAGGTCAGGTTACAAGCACTCTGTGGGGACAGCTTGCACTGCCATTGCCTCACTAGTACTAGCCCTGGGGATAAACAGGAGGCTGTGATGCCCCTGACTGGAGTGGCAAAATTTCTCAGGACGTTAAATGAGCATGTTGTGCAGAAGGGTGGGATGGGTTCACACGGTCTGTATTCAGAGAAGCAGAAATGCCACCAGGCCCACGGTTCACGGATGCAGTTTGACTCACTGTGCATCCTAACCTCCCTTGGCCCCTATCTGGCCGCCTCACCCTGCACCTGAACACATCATGAACTGGTTACTGGATTTTACCCCCTGAGGCAGGGAAGTGCTATTGTCCCCAGGCTACAGAAGGGAAAGTATGGCACAGATTAAATGAGCGACTTGCCCAAGGTTACACAGCATGTCTGAACTGAACTCGGGTCTCCCAAGTCCCAGTCTCAACCACTCAGTACTTCACACTAGATGAACTGTGTCAAACTCCAAGCATACATCCACAAATGCCAGTAGAAGAGATGATCTGACATACAGAGAGATTCCCATGTGCTATTATTTTCCAAGTGTAGAAGGTTTAATGTGGTTTCACCAACACTCCATTTATTAAAGTTTGACAAAATCCCAAACCACCTGCTCAGAGAAGTCTAAGAACTTCGTATTTTCCAAAGCGGGTCCTGCCCTGTCTCAGTCTTTCAGAAGGAAAACACCACAGGCTGGATTTCCAAAGGTGCTTGGATTTTCTGCACTGGCAAAGGCAGTGTGTTTTGGTGTGCATTCAGCTAGCTTCTGTGAATTCCTATTTGCATGTGGGAGAGAGGGTATGAGAGTGTGTGGGAGAGAGGGTGTGCAGGGGCATGCAGGTGTATAAGAGGGGTGGGCAAGAGGGTGTGTGTGACAGGTGTGGAAGTGTGTGAGAGAAAGGGAACGTGTGGATGTGCGAGTGAGAAGAAGTGTGATTATGTGTATGGCGAGTCTGTACACACTGTACATGTCCATACATCAGCGGACCTTTCCTGGCTACCCCAGCAGCTGATTCGGGGGGAAATACATTCAGATACATCATTCTTGGCCCCCAGAGAAAGGAGCCAGAGAGATGTCACTCAAGTCCCAGGCAGGTGTGGAGAGCCCCACATCCAGCTCTCTGCTCTGGGACACATTCCTGACAGGACAAAATCTCAGGGCTGCAAACTAACTGGGGGCAAGCGCTTGCCCCATGTGAGATACAAAGGGAGAGGGGCACACTTAGCAAAAACCAAACCTCAGGGACTTCTGGGCAGTGGCTGGGGCCAGACAAGGTCCTGCCAGCAGCACTTCCACCAGCAAATGGACATGGAAGGGAGGGAAAGAGGGGAACCAGCAGAGCCATGCCTAGTAAGTAGACTTTCAGCAGGTGCAAGTATCCCATTCACACTGCGCTTGGGCAAGGGAGAGACAGCAAGACAGACAGACAGACCAAACCTTAGCTTCAGCAAGCCCCGCCCATCGTCCCAGTGCTAAGAACCCTCTCCTCCTCTTTGTACTGGCTCATCGTTGCTCTCGCTGTTTGTTTTCTTATTGTCCAACTCTCCCTCCTCTCCCCTTTCAATCTTCCTCCTTGCAGAGTTGAAAATGAGGATGGTTTAGCGGGTAGGATACAGCCACCTGCTCCGGACCGGCAGCGGAGTAGGAGAGGATGTGTGTGCATGCAAGGAGCAGGCTTGAACTCTGAAGCTGGTGTTGTACTTTTACACTACGGTTGCCAGGCAATAGCTAAGGCTAACTCCAAAACAGTGAGAAGCAACCAGTCAGAATACTAATCAATGGAGCAGTAATCACCGCCCCCACTGCATTCACAACACCAGCCTCCTCGCCTCAACGGGACCCACTGGTTGTTTGCACTATTTGTTTGAAAAGCAAGTGGCTACACTGCCTCTTCATTGAGAATTTCTAAGCCTTTCAGTGCCTGTCCAAGCACACTGGGTAGGAAGCAATATGCATCCAGCCCCATATAAGTGGGATGTACTACTGCCTGATTTCCAGCAGACTTTCACTCGGAGGTTATAGAATCATAGGAGGTCATCTAGTGCAACCCCCTGCTCAAAGCAGGACGAACACTAACTAAATCATCCCAGCCAGGGTTTTGTCAATCCGGGCCTTAAAAACCTCTAAGGATGGAGATTCCACCGCCTCCCTAGGTAACCCATTCCAGTGCTTCACCACCCGCCTAGTGAAACAGTGTTTCCTAAGATCCAACCTAGACCTCCCCCACTGCAACTTGAGATTTTTGCTCCTTGTTCTGTCATCTGCCACCACTGAGAACAGCCGAGCTCTATCCTCTTTGGAATCCCCCTTCAGGTAGTTGAAGGCTGCTATCACATCCTCCCTCATGCTTCTCTTCTGCAGACTAAACAATCCCAGTTCCCTCAGCCTCGCCTTGTAAGTCATGTGCCCCAGCCCCCTCATCATTTCCATTGCCCTCCACTGAACTCTCTCCAATTTGTCCACATCCTTTCTGTAGTGGGGGGCCCAAAACTGGACGCAATACTCCAGATGTGGCCTCTTTTGGCCCAAGCCTCCAATTTGTCTAGTTCACTCTGGACCCTATCCCTAACCACCAGCATATCTACCTCTCCCCCAAGCTTAGTGTCATCTGTGAACTTCCTGAGGGTGCAATCCATCCCATCGTCCAGATCATTAATAAAGATGTTGAACAAAACTGGCTCCAGGACCGACCCATGGAGCACTCCACTTGATACCAGCTACCAACCAGACATCGAGCTGTTGATCACTACCCGAGGAACCCAACAATCTAGCCAGCTTTCTATCTACCTTATAGTCCATTCATCCAATCCATACCTTTTTAACTTGCTGGCAAGAATACTGTGGGGGACCATATCAAAAGCTTTGATATCACATCCACTGCTTTCCCCATATCCACAGAACCAGTTATCTCATCATAGAAGGCAATCAGGTTGGTCAGGCATGACTTGCTCTTGGTGAATCCATGTTGACTGTTCCTGATCACCTTCCTCTCCTCCAAGGGCTTCAAAATGGTTTTCTTGAGGACCTGCTCCGCGATTTTTCCTGGGACTGAGGTGAAGCTGACCGGTCTGTAGTTTCCTGGGTTCTCCTTCTTCCCTTTTTTAAAGATAGGCACTATATTTGCCTTTTTCCAATCGTCCGGGACCTCCCCCGATCACCATCAGTTTACAAAGATAATGGACAATGGCTCTGCAATCACATCAACCAATTCCCTCAGCACCTTTGGATGCATTAGATCTGGAACCATGGACTTGTGCATGTCCAGCTTTTCTAAGTAGTCCTTAAACTGTTCTTTCACCACTGAGGGCTGCTCACTTCCTCCCCATACTGTGTTGCCTAGGACAGCAGTGTGGGAGCTGACCTTGTCTGTGAAGACCAAGGCAAAAAAAGCATTGAGTACTTCAGACCACCTCCTGGTCTGGTGGTCTATAGTACATGCCCACCACGACATCACCCTTGTTGCTCTCACTTCACTTCACATCATCTGTCTCTAGATTGCCTCCCCCATTCAGTAAGGGTCCCACATTTTCCCTGACCTTTCGCTTGTTGCTAACATACCTGTAGAAACCCCTCTTGTTACCCTTCACATTCCTTGCTAGCTGCAACTCTAGTTGTGTTTTGGCCTTCCTGATTACACCCCTGCATGCTCGAGCAATATTTTTATACTCCTCCCTAGTCATCTGACCAAGTTTCCACTTCTTGTAAGCTTCCTTTTGTGTTTAAGCTCACTGAAGATTTCACTGTTAAGCCAAGCTGGTCGCCTGCCATATTTACTATTCTTTCTACACATCGGGATGGTTTGTTCCTGCGCCCTCAATAAGGCTTCTTTCAAATACAGCCAGGCTTTCCTGGACTCCTTTCCTTCTCATATTAGCCTCCCAGGGGATCCTGTCCATCAGATCCCTAAGGGAATCAAAATCTGCTTTTCTGAAGTCCAGGGTCCGTATTTTGCTACTGTCCTTTCTTCCTTTTGTGAGGATCCTAAACTCAACCATCTCATGGTCATTGTTGCCCAGGTTTCCACCCACTTCTACTTCCCCTACCAATTCTTCCCTGTTTGTAAGCAGCAGGTCAAGAGGAGAAAGGCCTCAGGTTGGTTCCTCCAGTAGTTGCACCAGGAAGTTGTCCCCAACACTATCCAAAAACTTCCTGGATTGTCTCTGCACTGCTGTACTGCTCTCCCAGCAGATGTCAGGGTGATTGAAGTCCCCCATTAGAATCAGGGCCTGTGTTCTGGAAACTTCAGTTAATTGTCCGAAGAAAGCCTCGTCTACCTTATCCTCCTGGTCTGGTGGTCTATAGTACATGCCCACCACGACATCACCCTTGTTGCTCTCACTTCTAAACTTAACCCAAAGACTCTCAACAGGCTTTTCTCCAGTTTCATACTGGAGCTCTGAGCAATCATACCCCTCTCTTACATACAGTGCAACTCCTCCACATTTCTTCCCCTGCCTGTCCTTCCTGAACAGTTTATACCCATCCATGACAGTGCTCCAGTCATTTGAGTTACCCCACCAAGTCTCTGTTATTCCAATCACATGATAGTTCTTTGACTGTGCCAGGACTTCCAATTCTTCCTGCTTGTTTCCCAGGCTTCTTGCGTTCGTGTACAGGCACCTAAGATAACTAGCTGAT